TGGAGGCTCCTTTACCTCCCTCAACTGCTTCAGTCTCTTCCTTCTGCAGGAATGCCCAGGCTCCTCTTCCAGGTGGGAAAAACACTGCATTCTCTTCCTTGTGTCTCCCTAGTGAAAGATCCACCTTGAATTCTCTGCCTGGAGTCTAAGCTTTCTTGGCTTGTGACAAAAATGGGTGATTTGGGACCAGACTTCTGATTCATTGTTTTTTGATTCTTGGGGAGAAGAAACCTGATGTGGGGATCTCCAGGCTGTTGTGTACACCCCCCCTCACCGTGTGTGGTTGTGGGCACTGTGCATGAGGCCACTATGTGTCATCGCTTCTGGGATGGTAGTCAGGAAAGCATAGAAACTGGGCTGGGGCAGAGGGGCGGAGCCAACACAGGGCTCCTGGAGGTGTGTCCCCATCACCCAGCTCCTGGCCAGCCACCTCTGGGTCAGCTCCAGGGCAAGCACACAGCCTTTGAAGCTTTTTGCCTCCAAATTTGAACTGGCTGAGAGGTAATGAGCAAAGAAGAAGTCAGTGGCAAGAGAAACAAGTGTCAGGTGAGTGAATCCTGCCCCGTAGACTGGAAGGGCATGTGCTCCCTGCCACACCTGGATCCCGGACGCATCACTTCTTCACAGCCTTTCCCACAGCTGGAGCAGGTGACAGTCGCTCGTGGAGTGAGCCTACTGTGCCTGCTCTCCTGCCTCTTCAGGCACCGGGAGAGCCCGGCAGCAGGCGGGCCTCAGCCTCTGTTTACTGTATTGTTACCTAGACGTGGGTCTGTTTAATCTGGATCTGGGTCAGAGATGGGGCTCTGCCGGCAACAGGACACAAACCCACGATTTAACCCTGTCCCGTCGGCAGGTTGCGGCTCAAGTATAGCGAGGGGTGATCAATGCATCAGTGTTCTCCTGTAGGAAGGCAGGCTACGGCCACTCTCAGGAGTGATGCCTTTAACATTAAAGCTTTCTATCAATCTATCCCTACAGACACACCCCCACCCCCCATAGTGAGGCCGCTGGATCTTAGATCTTCTGCAGTCTCTGCTTCCGTTGGGGACCACAGTCCACAAACAGGAAGAAACAAGACCCAGGAATGCTGTCCAGGGCCTAGGGACGCTGTCCAGGGCCTAGGGCCTATCATCCCTAAAGGATACAAAGGCAAGTGTCTTGGGATGAGGCATGATTCCCAACACCTCCCACATGCTGCTGACAAGCTGTTTATTTTCTCTCTCTCTCCCATAGAGTGTTAAGATTCACATAAAACACAAGGGTCTGGTATGAGGGGAGGCGGGTGCACAGAGCATGCTAAGCACCTAACACATGAGGGGGAAACTGAAATTACAAACACCGCTCATAACTCTAATTAGCAGCTATTAATAGGGCCTTGAAAGGGAGGTGTGAAGGTCACACCCAGGCGGGTCCTGTCCTGTGGGACTCCAGTGCCAGCAGCACTAATCAACCCGTGCCCAGGAGAGGAGATGGAGAGGTGGCCTCCTCCAGAGCTCTGGGTATGGTGCCTGGGTAAACAGCATACATATGGGGTAGAGCTGTGTCCCCAAAAACGATCCATCCTAACCTCACCACTAAGCCAACTGTGGCTGTAACTCCAACACTCAGGAGGCTGGGCCAGGAAGATGACCCCAGTTCCAGATTAACCTGACGACAGAGTGAGTCTCAAGGAACAAACCAAAAAAAATGAAATAAAATAAAACAAACACAACAACAGCAGAACCCCATGCCGGGTACCAGACAGGACCTTATCTGGAAACAGCCTGCAGCGGTAGAGTCTAAAGGAAGCCACACTAGGGTAGGCTAGACCATAAACCAAAACCATTGGTATTCTCCTGGAAAAAAGGAAATGCCAACATGGGAAAACAAGGTGTGACCACAGAGGCCGAGGTTAGAGGGGCATGTCAATGCCCATGGACGCCTAGAACTTCTGGAGCCAGCGAAAGCTGGAGACGCCAAAGGACAGAGCGCACCAGTCAACACCACCACTGAGAGCTGCCCTGCCTGTCTCCTCAAAGAAGCAAAGTTGCTAAAGGACTTGACTGGGTCTCTGGTGTCAACCCTACATCACACACATTTACAAACGCGCTCACTCCTGACGGAGACTGCCTACACACACACTACACTCTTGGAGCTCCCTGCTGAGACAAACCGGTTTGCCCCGAGTCACTAATTAAAAGCAGCATCAAGCATAATGCACACAGTGCTTTCTCTGGACTACATCTCCAAGGCTCTCATGTCAACTCTCTTTTCTCATAGGATAAAATGTCAACCAAAAAGGTGTCACTCAAGAAAGACAACTGAGCCACCCTGTGGGGTGACCCTGAGAGGTATCTGAAGAACAGTCCAGGATGACTACACCAGGAACGTTCCTGCCAAGAGGCAGCTCTCCTGAATGAGTGGAGTTCTGTTTTAAGCTCCGTGACACATTATCCCTCCCAATACCCAAACTTCCCAGGGGCAAGTCGGGATTACAACAAAGGATATTTATGTGTGTATTAAACCAGAGGAACAACCCCCCCACACACACCATGAACGAGAATGGGGGAATCCAGTGAGCTGCAGACTGGCAGACACGCAGCCATGTGGATGGCAGAGTGGCAGCTCTCCAGCTGATCGCTCTGGCATTCGGGGATTTCGGTGGCTTGGACATGGTTTGAGTGTGTGTCTCCAAAGGTTTGTACACAGGAAGCCTGCGTCCCAACCACAGAAGGCGGTGAATCCTTTCCCAGGTGGGGAACCATGCAGGGAAACTACCCACTGGAGATTCCTCCTCAGAAGGGTGAGTGTGGGTCTGGAAGAATTGTTGGAAAGAACAGCACAGACCCCGTCCCACACTCTGGCTTCCTGTCTCATCACGGCCCTGTCATACACGCTCTGGCTGGGAGGCCACCACGAGGCCTCACTAGACTCCAAATGTGGAGCTGACCAGTCTTGGACATTCAGCCTCTCCAACTGTGGGCTAAAATAAAAATAAACCAGTTTTCTTTCTAAAGCAATTAACCTTGGGGACTTGTCATGGCGATGGAAAATGAAGTGTCACAAAGGACAGATCGGAAGGCAACAGGAACACAAAGAAATCGAAGGTCACACAGCTCACTAAAACCCTAAGTTTCAGCCAGGCACCAACTCCGTCCCTCTTCCATGAGCTGCACCTCCCACCCAGGTGGTAAGGAGTCACTGGAGGGAAGGTGGAGATACTGCTGTCCTTGACAACTTCCCGCACACCTGATGACCCACATCACCTCCCTCTCCACACTCTGGACAAAGACAGTAATCAGCTGCCAACCCCACAGCTGTCCATGCAGCTTCTCCGTGTCAGTGAGCATGGGTAACTGGCTACAGTAACTCACGGGGAAAAGACCGCAACCATCGCCCAGCTCTAAGTTCCCTGGCCTCACAGAAGAAGCCTGGGATTACAAGGCAGCTGTGGAGGAACCAAAGGCTGATCACACACGTTCCTTTGCCTCCTGCTGCTGGCGTAGGACCCATGGCTCGTGGGACAGGAAATAGAAACCAGCTGTCAGCTCTTGAGCACAAGGACTATGGCTCTACCTGCTACATTCCAAACAGGACCACCTGGGCAGCACTAAGGAAAGAGACCTGCCTAGGCTAAGGGGCGTCCAGGCACACAGAGGCCTCCTCATTCACAGTAGATGGAGCTGAGCATCCTGCTGGGTACACCCGGGCATGCTGCTGCTCTAAGCTCCTCCATCACACAGAACAACTGCCCTAGGCACAAGGTCCACAGCAAGAGGATGGACAGGTGGGCAGGGTGAGGGTGTGAGAGAGATCCTGAATTCTGTCTCCCAGATCCAGGAGTCCTCAGCTGTGTGTCTGCCAGTGGGATGATATACTCCCACTCTGCAGATGATGGGGAGGGGTGTTAGCAGCCAGGGAGGTCATCTCACAGGGTACATTTCTACTTCTGATGTGTGAACATTCAAGAGAGATACCGCTGTGTTGATCAAAATAGAAGGCCATGTTCTACACTGCAAATAAATCAAGTCAGACACAGGCGTGTTAGGACAAACTGGATGTCCAATGGGAAGATGACAGACACCACAATAATGACCAGAAGTAGATGTGGTCCTGCCTCTTCCTTTAGAATCAGCAACTTTGGCACAACCTACCTCTAAATCCCTAGACTTCTGAGCCACAGAGTGACAGACAGAGACCAGGGGCGGGGCTGGCCTGAAACTTACAGCCATCCTCCCCCGAACTGTGGATGTTGGAAGACGTTCAAAACAGGGTTGTCTGAAAAAGGCGTATGCTTGCCTTACAGGTGGGTTAGCTGCAGACCCTTGGTAGCTGGTGTCTACCAAGTGTACGACAATGAATCCTGCAACACAGAGCCCCGAGATGGAAGCACTATAGACTCCAAGTCTAGTCCAGCTAGCTGTGATGACCATTCACACTCAGGCACAAAGAGGAAAGCCCTGCCATGGCCCTCAGCGGTACCTGGGAGATACAGATACTACCTTTCTCCCTCCTCCACACTATGAGTTCTGAGTACCTGGTCTGTAGTCCCCACAAAATCGAGCCTTTGTCCATTTGGACTCATTCATAAACCTTTGTTTGAATCCTGTCCTCTTCCCAAATCATCGATCCACGGGGAGAGTTTGAAAAGTGGGCATTTTCCTGATGTGACAGCCGTGAGGCTTCCTCAACATGGCTGGAAAATACTGCAGAATGGTGGCAGAGCCCCAAGCAAGGCCCTCAGAATTCTGTTCTTTCTAGATGGTTCCACAGTCTTTAGGACAAGTGTTAAGGGGCTAAAACATGTGTTACAGGGGAGACGTGGAGCTACTTAGGACTATACTCAAAAGACAGCTAAGGGACGAAACAGGGTGAGATGGCGAACTTAAAGAAAAAGGTGAAATGAAACAAAACAGGATGAGACACAGACCGCGGTGGGAAGGGAGCGCTACAGTACAAGGTTGTGCCTCTCCTCTCTCCAGAACGAGACAAGCACTGCCATGAAGAAAATGTATAGTTACCTGCGTCCATATCTGCAAAGAATGGAACAGCCAGTAAGAAAAAGAAGGAACCAGAAATTCAGTGTCTCAGAGTTGGATTTCAAAAGGTTACATGGGGAGAAAATATAGTTTAGAAAATGGCTTGTGGGCTACACTCTGACTGGGGGACCACGGGCTTCCTATCGCCCCTGTCATAATCTCCCTTAAAGTAAAAAACCAAACAGAACCACAGTCAGACATGGATATGTCAACGGAAGAATCAAAATGTCTAATGGCAACAGAAATGCCCAACTCACATGCAAAATGATTATTACATGTTTGTAATACAATATAAAGGGAAACATACTCAAACATGTAGTGGGGTGATCTGGATTGTATTTAGAAATGCTGGTGTCTGTGACTAAGCAGCATTACGAGGTCAGTGTCCAGATCAGAGAGATGTCCGACCCATACTCAAAGGAGTAGCACTGGACTAAGGTTCGAGAGGACATGCCTTACAGTGGAAATGTACTCAAGAACATCTCACGGTTAATGCTCAAAATGCTGGAGTGAATGCACTCCTATAGGACGGAGAGCCTACATAAGTCTCTTTGATGCTCCGTGCCTTTCTTATGGCCTTGGCATGGGTCATCAATGATTTAGAATATGCTAAAAAAAAAAAAATTTAAACCCTAAACTCTAAGCTGGTAACTAACCACCTGCCCAACAACAAACATACCTTCTGGAGACTCCTCCTGCACGTATGTGCCAGTCAGGTACCGGTGCACCAGTGCAGACTTGCCACTGGCCAAGTTACCCACAATTCCCTGCAGCAAAAAAATAAATAGAGAGAAAGTAAGAGAGAGACAACAGTTAGGAGTGGTTAAACCATTTATTTAGTTTTTCTCACACCGCAGTTAAAATACGTAGTAACCCCACACAGGGTTTAAATCACCCTGCCAAAACGCTGGAGAGAGACTGAAAAATGAATTCAGCATGTATTTCTATTGGAGACAGAGTCAAGCCTGACTTAGCTGCTCCTGTCCTCACCAGTCCCGGGTGCTGCTAGGGTGTCAGCATGCTGGCCTTCTTCCGGGAACACCCATGCTAGCTTTATATGGCACATGTGTACTGGCTCAAGTGTCCACAGGGGTAGGAGCCTCCCTAAATACTAAGATGGAAAGGTTCCACCCGATGTGATGCTACAACCCAGAGCCCTGTGCAGATGGGGCCATCTGGTCCATTCCACCCTAGGAAGGTGAACTTGGGCAAGCTGGAGGCTGGAGTAACCGGGGTGGGGGAGGGGGGCACAGACAGCAAGCCTGCCTCTCAGAGACACACAACCAAGAGGAAACCAAGAGTCAGGCTGTGGCAGGGACAGCCAAGGTGACCACAGCAGGCGGAAAACAACAGGAGAGGGCAAGGGTACGTGAGTGCCGCTGTCGGGCAGTAACCAGGGAGGCGAGGCTGGCACCAGGGCTCTGGTGAAAGGGCTCTTATTTAGCCTGTGCTAGGAGCCCTACATCTCCTCCCCCCCCTCCCTCCCTCCCTCCACTCAGCAGCCTTGTGCATTCTAATTTTTGCTCAATGACCATATATCAATGCCATGTTCTTCCCTCCCAAGCGCCCCTAGAGTTCACTGGTCTGTGTGAGGATCCCCAAATCCACGAGCTGCCCAGCCCTCTCACTGTGCTTTGCGGCCCCCAGCCTTCCTACTTCCTGGCCTCGTCTCCTATGTCCAGAGGCCTCCAATCTCATCTCGATAGGCTGTGCTGTCTCCAGGGGACTACAACTTTCCACACTGATTAGTCATGGCCCCAAATCCTACTCCAGCTCAGACATCAAAACTCTGAGGACCAATTCTATCGGTTTCTGAATCCTTGTGTTCCCTCGGGCCCCAGGAGATGTATTAGGAGGTAGGGCCTCTGAGAGGGGACAGGTCACAGGGACACTATCCACATGGAAATCAGCATACATGTGAATGTGGCCCAGCAGGGAGGAAAGGGGAAAGAACATCCTACCTGTAATCTACAGAGCAGATGACCCCTAAGTCCTCACCAGCCCTCAAATCTGCAGGTTCCTTTGCCTCCCAACCTCTAGAACTATGAACACAGGTTTCACTGTTCACAAGGCACCGTATCTTGTCACAGCAGCCTGGATGGATGAGGACACTTTTAGGCCACAGCCTCACCTGGGGCCAGCAAGATGCCCTGTTGCTGACTACAGCACACCATAGCCTTCACCTGGCTCGCCACTCCTTATGGGAAGGGACTGTGTCCTGTTCTCTGCCCTGCCAAGGCACCCAGCCCAAGGAAGATGCACAGCCCCCATGGAATCAGTGTGTGGATGGCTGATGGATGGATGGATGACTACCACTAGTGAGTATAAATGAGCTCTCTCTGCCACTGAGAGCTGGGCTGAGGGCCAGAGCATGTGGACGGCTCCTGCACAAAGCTGTCTCCCTTCCAAGTCCAACCTGAATCTTCCTACCTTGAACCTCCACAATTTGAGAGTATCTGCCTATTAATTATTCTTTTGCTCAAGGGCACCTGCTGCTCGTAAGCTTCAAGCTGAGAAAATCCAAGCCAGTAAATGCCACAGAAATGAAATGTTTAATTAAGATCACTTTCTCTTCCTGGAGGAAGAAACCCAGCACTGTGCAGCTGGGCTTTCTCTGTGAGGTGACACCTGCCACTCTTCTCTGCGACAATGGGCGAGGTATGGCACATCCCTGAGCAGGCCAGTGCCATCTACACTGGGCTGGGGACGGACGGACGGACGGAGGGTGCCTGGCTTACGCACCCATCTCACAGACTGTGAGCAGCCTTCTTTCAAGTTCAAACACTGGCCGAGACTGCCATCCGCTAGGATGTGGCCCTCCTGTGGGACTGTGACAACCTGAATGTCACCTGCAGAGAAGGAACAAAGGGCTTCATGGGCAGGAAGGGGGTGCCCTGATGATGACAGAGCTGGGCACGTCAGACAGGAGCTGTCACCTCGTGTCACCTGTGCAAGCCATCAGTCAGGGCTCTGCGGCCATGCTGTCCGCCAGAGGAAGCCAAGCGGAGCAGCACCTTTATAACGCGGTTCTCCAGCACCCTGGGGTTTCTCCCCCCACTAACACCACTCTACTGCAGAACAAAAGAAGCCCTTTGGCCAAAATCCCAGCTCAGAGTACCAGCAAAGGCAACAGTGGCAGCTCTGCAGGCAGGGTCTGCCGACCGCTTCCAGCCGGGCGGGCGGGCGGGCGGGGCATGGAGCCTGTGCAGCCTGATCCAGGTCTGCGGGCCGCCCAGCAGCTACGGCACATCCACAGCACATCCAGGAGCCCCGGCAGAGGCCCACGGCTCTCACAAAGGAGCACTGCTGAACTGTACGTCCTGACGGAGTCCAAAGGACTCACTGAGAAACACTCCATGAAAGGTCCGCTGGGAGACCCAGTGACGTCATTCCATGGCTACTTTTCCAGGCAGGACTGAGGGTCCCAAGGCGATGACCCAGAGGGCCACCAGTCTCGGGTGCTGCCTGAGGGCAGAAACAATAACAGCCCTGTGGGCATGCGAAGGGAAATGCTCCACAGAACAAAGGCGTGTTTCTTCGGACCTGAGCATCCTCACCACACAAGGGTAGGCTGAGGTGCCCTTGACGACGAGGTGCCTGCTGATGCCACCACGAGAGGGCGCACACCACAGCAGAGCTCGTGGCCCTCCTCAAACCAAGGAGGAGCCCTCGACTACAGGACAAGTCAAGCGCAGAGCCTCAGGCTGGCCCAGCTAGAAGAACGTCACATTTAGAAGAACTCTACACTGACTCTTTAAATGTCAATACTTGCCATACACACCAAATGCGTATAACAGAATGTCACATAGCGGAAAATAAGCTTTTGGTAGCACTCACCCCCAATTATTACTGGCTGAGAAGAATATGTGGACCAGACCAGGTGTCGTGTCACAAGCCTGTTTAATTCTAGCACTTGGGAGGCTGAGCCAGCAAGAGGGTTAAATTAAAAGCTAGCCTGGGCTACACAGTAGCTAAGTACATAAGTAAGATACTGTCTTAAAAAGCCCAAACCAGCCAAACAAAACCCACTCAGGCCCCGAAACCTGCAACACCTTTTAGTTCAGGCAGGTTCTCGGGAAGATAGCCCCCAGTAACACCTGGTCCCCAGCCGTCTCTTGAGCTGTCTGGAAGTTGAAGCGCAGCGTGGCATCCCACCCCACCCCACCCCACCGCTATGCTGACTTCACCGGACACCTGGGGCCACTCCAGCAATAGTGGGAACAGACACACAGGAGGCTCTCCAGGGAAGGGCTGGCTTCCGAGGAAGCTCTTCACGCCCCAGACCTCATCTGTGACAGAGGCTGACAACAGGACCTGCCCCTCCGGGGGTAACTGTCAAGACTGAAGGCTGTAATTACAGGGGACCTGCAGGCAGAGGATGCCCAGAAGTTATGCAGCCTCCTAAACGTCTGGGCAAATACCCTAGCCTTGTGGGTTGTCACTGACTGTAGAACCAGAGGGGTCAGCACCTGGGCTCCCCACCAGGAGGATCGGAAACTGGCCAGTCTTTATGAACCGGTCCTGTTATTGGCACGGGCACCCTCTGCCATTCATTCATCAGGTATTTACAGAACACGCTAATACTGTGCAAGTTATAGTAGCTATGAAACACAGAAGACAGGTGAGGGAGCTACGTCGGGGCTCGTCTTGCAGAACCCCAGAGGCTGGGAGGAGGGCTGGCTTCCATAAAGGAACAACCCCATAGGAAGGCACTGCTGAGACACACTAGTGTCCTGGAGGAAGTGGCTTACTTCCATCTCAGGTGTGAGACACAAAAATCCTTATCCCATCCTCTCTGCATCACTGAGGCTGGGACAGCAGGTATGGGGGACCTTGGAGGTTCCGGCAGGTCACTGGGAAAGTGGTCGGACAAAGAGTGAACTAAATGAGGAGATGCACAGTGAGTGGGCAGCCCACATGGAGGTCCTCCACCATCCAAAGGTTGCTAACGGGCAGGAGCTCATCTGTCTTCCAGCAGGTAAGTTAGAGGCCAGCACAGGGGAAACAGGAGCGCGTGCATGTGCATGTGTGCGAGTGTGCATGCATGTGTACAAACACAACCAAGAGCCCCACATCTCATGACAAACAACACTATTATTTAAAATGTGGTCTTGTCCCTTCCCTCCATGCTAAGGTCAGAGGCATGCAATGGAGCCGAGCTCTAAGAGACGACTGTCGTGGACATTCACAGAAGCCAGCGATAAGCTTTAGCTCTGCTGGAAGTTGCTTTTATTAAAAGCAGAACTCTTGACTTATGCCAAGAGTTCACAATTGTATTAATAGTCGTTACTTTTTAAAAATTATGACTATGGATGGCTTGTTTCAGAGGTTGTCATAACACCCAGCAAGGGACAGGTTAAGCCCACGGTGGCACGTGCATACAAGTGTATGTGTGTGACACAGACACAGAGTGGCACAGAGCAGGGTGGGGGAAATGCACAGAGATAATGCTTTAGTCCTGTACACAGACCACCACCTTCTGGATGGCAATTATGGCTCTGCCAGGCACACTCAAAGTTCTAGCTCCTATCGCCAGTGAGAGCCTTGCCAGGTGCACACGCCCCAGAGAGAGCACGTCCCACCCTTCAGGCCCCAGGAAACAGAATGGAGTAGGTACCGGCAAGCTTGCAATCTCACACCCTGCTTATTCTAAGCGCCTCCCTCCTACAGGCTAGAGGTGCCACTCACCACTTTGAGCTCCGGTACAGATCGGCTGAGTGTCCATTCCTGGCTGTTCACGAAAGCATCTGCAATAGAAGATGGAAATGTGAGGTGCAAATCAAAGCAAAATCAAAATGTCCCCTAGATGTCATTTTTGGAAGGGAGGAAAGGGCACTAAGGAAGAGTCATACCAGCCCCCTACCTTACTCCTACCCTGGAGGCCATGACTTGCCCAAGTTCACACTTTCTGGCCTCAAGGCTGCGGTGTGTAATCCACACCCCAGCAACGCTGAAGACCTCTCGTGCTGTCCATTCCTCCCCCTGCCCAAGCTCCAGGCCTTCTCCTCAGGTCCACAGCAGACCTGACGGCTTTCCCGATTCTCGGCACAATGCGGAGACGCTGTGGCAGAGGCCTGACCTGCCTGGACCTGCCCTTGTGGCAGGCCAGCTTTTCATCTTGTTGTATTCTACTACAACAGTTACCTTTCTGAAATCTCACAGAGAAGAAAAAGACAGATGTTAAGCAGAACTGGTTACAAGACTGCAGGGTGCAGAGTCTCTGCGGGATGTGAAGACACCAGAGAGGTGATTCAGCCGGGGTGGGTTGGGGTGTGTCAGAAAGACGAGGAGTCCGTCCCTCGGTCCTGGGGGACTCGGCCATGGTGCTTATCCCCCAGCCTGCCTCACACCTGACAAGCCCACAACCACTGTCCATGGCTTTGCTCACATGACTTTCACACTTCCCGTGTGCCGTTTCCTGTCAGAAATGACAGGCTGCGGTAATGGCCACCACAAGGCAGCCACAGGTTGCACTTTCCAATGTAATTCACTCCCGAGAGTCTTCCTCAAATGACTCCTGTTATCTCGTCAGTTGCAGAAAGCAAAGTCACTCACACCACATTCAAAGTCAAGGTGGTCGTCATTCTCAGAAGGGTACACGACGCTCAGACCCAGCAGGAGTCAGGGCCGGAAGCAACGGCCTGCTGCTCCCCCCGTAGGATGCTGGACAAGGGTGAGAGGTGCTTAGATGAAACCAAGCAGACCAGGAAAAGACAGTCCCCCTGACACCAAAGAGGCTGCAACCAACGCTGGCCAGATGTCACTGGCCCTGCAGTGACAGAGAAACCCTGGTGTCTAGGGAGATCTCTGCTCGGGGGAGATCTCTGCTCGGGGGAGTCCAAGCAGGAGGAGCCGGGTGGCCTGCAGAGGCTGCAGAGTACAAGACGCATCCTTACAAAAGCGCTGTGGCATTGTGGGGCATCTTTTTATCTGTCAATACATCCACATTCAAACGGTACGTTCATTTTTGTGGCAGCTAGGGTAATAAAATATTTGACTTAATTGGTGAAGAAAAAAACCTAAACACTAAAGAATTAACACAGCTTTCATTAAGAAACCTTTCTTTTAAGAATGTCTGCCCAGTCTGAAGGGAAAGTTGGCGCACTCCAGACCAAAAGAAAAGAAACAGGTGCTTTAGTCAGAGACATCTGCATGGCAAGCTTCTGCCACCTTTCTCTGTGTGGCTTTTCAGCGGCCGAGCCTTGTGCAACAGAGAGCACTGGAAATGCAGTCTATGCAACACCCACCTAGAAACTTCCTCAACCCAGCAGGCAGGGCCCGGGCAGACCACATCTCGTCTCACTCAGTCTCCAGGGCAGCTACCTGTTTCAAGGAACAACTCTGGATATGTCTACACACACTTTCCACGGATCTTCCCAGTGGGGAGGACACAAAAGTCACACATGTCTGTGGGCTTGGCTACTAGCCTATGCTAGGCCCAAGATCCAACCCCCTGCAAGGAATAAAACCGAGTGTGATCATGCTTGCAATCTCCACACAATGTCACAGAAGGACGACTGTGCCCCACCTAACACCCCACTCCCTGGAATACACATTCCACATATCAGTTGTTTAGTTAAAGTGCTACTGGACTAGAATTTAACGGTAGGGCAGAGATTACCACTGACGGGCTGTGGGTTCTACTGAGCCTCTGATGGGTGTGGGCCAGGCTACCTGGCTCCTGCTTGATACCACAGGTGTTCACCACTGTGGCTCAGGACAAGAAACTTTCATCATTCCTCATCACCAACCTAGTGCTAGGCTATTATTATTATTATTATTATTATTATTATTATTATTATTATTATTATTATTATTATTATTATTGAAGCGCAGAGCATCCAATCAGGACCTCCTGCATGCTAGGTAAGTGCTCTAACAAGCTACATTCCCAGAATTTAACAGTCTTTATTCAGTTCAACAAAAGAAAGTGGGTGCTGTGTCCTGGCCCCCCTACAGTGACTACCAGGATTCCAGGTTAGACATGTAACGTGACATCAGGTTCCTTCACTGGTCTCTGGTGATCATGACCAGTGGATTATAAATAATACCCAAGTGGACACAAGGAAGGACTGCATTGCCCACAATAAGCTCCAAGATTCATGATGACACACCTCAACATGTGCTGGCAGGAAGGCCACAGACTAGGCTTGAAGGGCCGGGGCGGCCTCCATGCTCCTTCTGAGCAGCTCGAAGGGCAGCTATTGGCCCACGGAGGGCCATAGAGGACCTGGTTCAGCAGAAGACACCACACATCCCCATGGGGGCCACCCACTTTAGAAATACTACAATGCCATCAACTCCACTGTGCACAGATGCAGACAACAGCCTCCCCAGGCCTCTGCCTGGACCTCCCCTAACCTCAGTTCCTCCAGACTAAGAAGTGTGGAGGCCAAAGGCATCCTGAGCCCTCCTTTATCTGAGAGGCCGAGGTTGCTGAGCTAGCTGGGTGTGACCAAAGATCGGACATAAAAAGAAGATGATCTCGCAGTTCAGACAGCATGGAAAGTCAGCCCTGCCCCAACCCCCACACAGCCCTGACCTACCCCCTGCACCATGCCAGGCCAGGTTCATCCATCTCCCTACCTTGCCTGAAACACAGGCACAGCCTCCGGGACCCTGGAGACTGGAACTTGGAAAGTCTCAGCACAGCCTCCTCAGAACTATCACTCACTCCCGTCCACTGCCCACCCACCCACTCCAAAATTCCTATCTTCCTTTCAGGAGGCCTTCGGCTCATTCGGAGCCAAGCCCCATTCCCTAGTCACCAGCAACAAGAGAAGGCAGAGCAGGAACAGGGTCACTAGTAGGCTTTGTCCCTCTGACGGCTAGTGTTGGTCACAAGAGCCTGAGCAATGACAATTTCACTTGGTTCAACCCACAGCACATAAGCATGGACACACGGGGGTGGGGGAGGGGGGAGATCCATGTGATATGATCACAAGCATCTTAAAACAAAGACCCTCTGGTGAGTTGACCCTTGCACCGTGCCCAGGCAAGGTCCAGCAGGGACCAGAGAATAAGCAAGATGACTGAACTGGAACCCAGGCAGCCAGGACCCACCGGCTTCTCACCTGTAGCCTGGAGGAGCCTGGCTACAAATGGCATGTTTCTAGGGAAGCCTTCAACTCCATATAGCTCCACTGGGTGCCTTCCTGGGGCCTCAGAACCTTGAGCTAATGGCTTATAATATTCTTTATCACCGTCCCTCCCCCCCAGTCCAAACTGCATCATTTGGCTGGTGGACACAAGCCCCAGCAGAGGCAAGGCCAGAGATAAGGTACTAGAAGCCAGGTCTGCAGAACCACAATGACTTCATGCACCCCAACCCCACCTTGTTTGGCTTCAAGGACCATAGATACAAGCTCCAGCCACAACTCACAGAGAAGCTGCTGCCAGGGTAAAAAAAGGAAATTGAAATTGTAGGTGAGGGAAGAAAAAAAAAAGAAACAAAACAAAACACCAAACACTGTCTCAGGGACTGGAATGCTCTTGGAACCTTAAATTCTACAAAGGTTTTTTAGAAATGCACTCTGTTTAGCAACAGACATGATTTTTTTTTTTTTAACCTGAGAACATCTGCAAAGCCCTGAAATAGGAAACAGAACAAAAAAGAGAGCAAGTCTACCCAGAGACCAGGAGGCGGGGAAGTCAGGTCCCGGCCCTATCAAAGCCTTGCTGGGGAGGGAGACAAGGTACCTCCAGAGGAGTCAGAGCTCTGAGGCACAGTGCCTAATACCCAGGGCAGCAATGACTTCCAGACCTGTGTGCGGCGGGACGGCCATTTCTCATCAACAGCCTCCATTGCCAGTGCAGTAATCCATGAGCAAACCCAGTCCTCAGGGGTACAAGATGACTGCCAGGTTCCCTTGTGAGTTCCAGCTGCTCCTCGGTGGCCCCAAAGATTCACAAACAAGATGGCTCCCTCCCCAACATCCCTGACACCTTCCCCATTTACAAGACCTTTCCTTTGAAGAGTGGCAAATGTCATGTCACCAAGGTACCGCCATGCCCGCCCAGCCTGCAGGTATGGCCACACCAGGGCCTCAACCCCAAGCGTCTTTCCCGAGCCCTGATGTGGCTCAAGATCCTTCTTCAGTAGAGGTCCTTTCTCTTCTCCCTTCAGTCTCCAGTCAAAAGGCACCGGCCGAGGCAGGATCTCAAGGACTCAAGGAACTGACTCAGGGACACAGGATTCCCTTTAGTGACTTACCCCCCACGGTGGGTGCCCTTCTTGGGAAGGTGTTCTAAGAGGATGCCTAAAGCTGCATGCCTATCAGGAATGCCTTGAGAACACAAGTCTAACAAGGAAAAGTGGAAAATGTGAGGATGTGAGAATGGAAAGGAGGGAAATATTCCTCTAAACGTGAAAACCCAGGCCAGAGCTCACAAGCTGAGGGGAGCCAGGGGCAGCAACCACGGCCTCCTGTGTGAGCTTGGTATGTCCATGCTCCACATTTCCTCAAGAAAGATGTGTGCTGGGTGAGCAGAGGCTGCAATATTCCGACTAAAATATTGGCAGCTCTGAAGCCTGTGCCCTCATTCCATCCAATTTTCATTCACTGCCGTCACCCAGGTGATGAAGGCATTTGCTATGAGCATCTTCCCCGGGCAGGCTACAGCTCCTCAGGGAGAAAGACTACAGCCTCAGCTCTTTCTGAGGAACAGAAAGGATAAAGGGCATTGCGTCTCCACGCCCCTCAAGGCCACCTGAGGGCTGGGGTGTCTGTCACTGACCACCCCCAGG